ATTGGGCCATCAACAAAGGGAACTGTCCTGTTTGAGTCTGTGCTGAAATATCTACATTCCTCTACTGTGCTAGATGTGCTGATGCTGTTATAGGTGGGGAAATTGTCAATTAAACACACTGGGAGAAAAGATAGATCAGGGAACGTTTAATAATTCCTACTGAGTGTTATCTGGCTGTGTTTTCCTGTCCAATAGTGCTAATACTTTGTAACTGATATATTTACATGACATGCTGTATCCAGCAAATAAACTATTTTATATCTTAATGTATTGATCCATTAATCAATTGTACTAAAAAAGGCTGAATTTCTACAGTATGTTAAACTACTGCCTCCCCACAATCATAGCCCAGAATCTTACACCATTTCTTTATTAAAATATATTATAAAATATCCATATTATATTATATTTATATTACAAATTTATAATATATCTTAACTATATTATAAAATATAAACTAAATCAGCTCCAAACGTTTTTAAAGAAGAAGTAGCAAAAAGTTCAAAGTTAGAAAATGTTGAGATTACTTTTGTCATAACAAGGGAATTTTGTTAGTGACAACGCAAATGATACCGTTTCCTATTAAATCCAGCAGTCTGCTTCTGCAGACTAGCAAAAAAAGCACTGTGACTCTTTAGCAGCAACAGTAGTCTTCCCACTTTATGCTATTATTTGCAAATGCCACTCATTTGATAACATAACACACGCTTTGTTTGCAAACTCTTATTTAGTGGTCAAGTAATTAACAGAGGCAGCTGTTGACTTGCCACCTCATCTGGAACCAGAATTTCCATTGCCAAGCAAAGGGGTGGTTCGTGAGTTTTGCTGTTTTTTTGCCACAATTGTTAAGCAAATCATTTTAGTTGTTAAGTGAAGGGCATGTTTTTTAAGCAAGTTGGTTTCCCCCATTGACTTTGCTTGTTGGAAGTTGGCTGGGAAGGATGAAAATGGCAATCATGTGACCCCAGGATATTTCAACCATTGCACAATATATGCTGGTTGCCAAATGCTCAAATTTTGAGCACATGACCATGGCGATGCTGTGCAAGTTATAAGTGTGAGGACCAGTTGTAAGTCTCTTTTTTTCAGTGTCATTGTAACTTTGGCCCCTAAATGAAGGGTAAGTTGATTAATATTTATTTATTTAAAAATGTATTGGCTGCCCATCTTACCATAGGGTAATTCTGGATAGTTTATAGTTACATTTCGGTTAAAATAAAAAGTTAAAATAAAACATGAAAACCAAAGACACATGAGAAGGGTGGGGGGCACTGGAATCTGTTATTACTCAATCAACCACCTCCATTGTGCTGTTCCCCACTGGGGCCTTAAGCCGACTGGCACAGCCATATCTTTAGGTCCTTACGAAAATATAGGTTGAGGCCTGCCTCACATTGAGGGACAAGGAGCAACAACTGAGAAGGGCATCCTCCTGGATCCTGACAGACAGAATAGTAAGACTGACAGGACCAGCAGCATGCCTCCTCTGCCAGCACTGGGCCAATCCCAGTGGGGTGAGATGGTCCCTCAAGTAACCTGGACCCGTGGCATGAAGAGTTTTAAAGGTGATTACCAACACTTTGAATTGCACTCAGAAGCAGACTAGCATAGCACTTACGCTTACATACCGCTTCACAATGCTTTACAGTCTTCTTTAAACGGTTTACAGAGTCAACATAATGCCCCCAACAATCTGG